AAAAAAATTTATTTAAATATTTTAAATTTTAAAAAAAGTAAATCATAAACAAATTTATAGCAATTTTCCAGGCAAATGTGCCTGGAATTGTCTACAGTTTAAGGGATACAAGATAATGCCTATAAATAATTCTCTTTATCTTCATCTTCTATAAAAACAAAATACAAAAAAAAATTAATGCAAAAACTGGTAATACCTATAACATTTAGCAAAGGCATCTTAAACTTATTTGTCTTATATATACAATTTATAAAGATAACAAATAAATAATAACAAGTAAGTATGATAAATTTATTATATGCAAAGAAAAGATAAGTAATTTAGCCTTTATTATTACATTTATATTCATATATATAATCACCTTCTCAGTTTATTTATTAAAGCTTCAACTGAAGTATGACTTGCCAAAGTTTGTTGGCAAAGCTGCTAACATGTATTATAGATATCTTTACTATTACTCATACTGATAGATCATGTTGCCAAATAGCTGATATTATTTTCTAAGGATTTGAACTAGAGGTAGTCATTTCTGCAACTCTTGCTAATTGTTGATTTGTAAGTCAATATGATATTGGGTGCCCTGATAAATCTTCTAATAGATCATAATTATAGTTACTTTTACAAACTTTTATATATTATAGATTATCACATCTAACAGTATATAACTCAAAAAGGCAATTAATTAACAAGGTGCTTGTTTGTCTCGGTGTTTCTAAGCCAATATAAATCTACTGCAGTCATACTATAATATCATATTTTTTACATACCATGTCAATCTTTATGTGTCTTTTTTTTTTACCAATATATAACCTTGAATATTAACAAATATTTGAGCACTCTGAAAAAGCTCATCAGCACTTTTATATAGTCCAGGAGGTGGCAGTAGTATATTTTTATTATAATTTTAATTTAAAAGATTTGTTATTATAACAGGATAAGAATTGAAGTTAATGGGTTGAAATTAAGGTTGGAGTATAGATTAAAGTTTATGTTGAGAAGTGTTTTATTTTTAATTTTTTTTTAAATTTTAGTAAAAAGTGCTTACTCATTCTTTTTTTAGTTTACAAATACTATTATTACTTCATTCTTACATATTGTATAGTAATATCTTACTATTATGTATTACTACTTTACTGATTAATGCATTACTAAATATATCACATAATCACAATTAATTAATATCAATACATACAAGTGTGCTAAGAAAACTTAATGCATCTCAACATTAATAATAAACAGAAGAAATAATGAAATAAAATAACCAAATTGAAGAAAATATATATTTTTGCTTCAATATTATTTGATAATTTTGTCTAAAACAGCCATTATTACTCTGGAGCACCGGTATTATAGGTGAATATGTTAATATCAAAGGTGCCACATTGACCGCTGTATAGTGCAAATTGCTAAAAAGTAAACCATATGTTACATGAGTACATTTTTTGTAAAGACGATGAGCGATGCAGATTACCTTTCCTGAAGGTGCACTAAAACCACCAAATTCTGTACTATTCCAGTCATCATAGTTTGGTTGTGAAGGTGTTTGATAATTCTAAAAAAAAAAAAGAAAAAAAATTTTATTTGTAAAATAATATGTTATTAATGTAATTAATATAAAGTAATATAAGGTAGTTTATGTTAACTTACAGCATACCAGATTTTAAAGCTGCTATCAACAACTGCTTGTGCACTACCAAAAAGTGTTATCCATTGTTCATATGACGAATATATGCCCTTGAAATCGTAATAGTTCAAAATAAGTATACGATAACTTGATATTTAACTGACATTATTAACTCTTACCCAATTCTTCGAAGTTCCTTTAGCAGCTTCTGTAAATTGTTTTGCCAGTGCGAGGTTACTAACTTTGTCTTGGGACCAATTTTGGCTACAACTCAACGTATTATCAATTTCAAAGTCAATCCAGATAGTTTGCACTAGAATTCTATTCTTATTGACGAAAGTAACAAGATCATTGACCTGCGTCTGTGGTGACTTACAATTGTATGCAACTCCGGTGCAGGGGAAAAAATAAAGGTCTATATACTTGTAGCCGGCAGTGACTGCATTTTGGTAGTTGCCAAGACAAGTAGAAGAAACACCTCCGCCTTGAACACAATACTCGCTGAATAATGATGCATTAAAATATAAATAAATAAATAAAAATAATATTCTTAGCGAAAATGGGTTTACCTGTAACATTGGATGATTGCCCGATTGTAACCTTCTGCTTTGGCACATGACCAACTGGAAGCCATTTGGACTCCTGGAGGGTCGCCAGCATCAACAGCATAGGAAATTGCATTTGTTTCTAGGACTATTAAGACCATACAAAGAATGATAACTATAAAGTGTTGATATTTTAGGTACTTCATGCCTTTTATCATTGTTATTTAATGTCGTGACTGAAGCTGGAAGTTCGAAACTTCGATTTAAAAATATAAATACTACCAAAACACGCTTATACTCTTATTATCAAAACTGACTTTAAATCCTAACCTAGCTGTTAAAAAAAAAAAAAACTAAAAATTTTTGAAAATTTTATATCAAAATGTTTAAAATCTCACAGCCTCAGCCGCTTCCAGCCGCGATACGCAATAATAATTAATTGCGTACATAGAAATATAAGGCTTTTCCAAATTTATAAAAACAAAATTAAATATGTATAAAAAAGGAACTTTGTATATCAATAAAGAAATCATGGAATCAGTAATGCGTAATAAATAAATTCATGTCAATTATACGTAATTCATAGACATAAATATGTATAAAATTACAAATTTAGATTGATCACAGAATAAAAGCAAATTATATATTTTGGATTTAATTGTCTTTGTTCTATTGTTTTTAGATTTAAAATTAATTTAATCCATTTATATGTATGTATTTTAGAATCAAACATATGGGCGAAAATCTCCAGTTGAAGCACAGTGATTATTAGGATTTATAAGTAATTAGGTCACAATTAGGTACATGCGTACAAAATTTATAAGCATCAGGTTACTATCAGGTACAAATTTATGAGTAAAATTTATAAGCGATTCATAAGCAATTCACTATCGGGCTTACAATCTCTGATCAAAAAATCACTTTTATTCTCAATAATCATGCCATATCACATAAATGATTGGCTC